GGCCTCAGAGCCAAATATGCAGACCTCCCCTCGCTGAAATCACCCAATCAGATCGGAGTCTGCCGTGCCCCTCCCTCACTGACACACTGGCCTGTTTTACTGTTTCTGTTTGTCCTGAAAAACCTCAGATTTACCCAGAATGCCTCAGTGTACAATGTTCTTTGTTTTGTTCAGAATAAATGCGACATGACATCATACGAAGGCGCTCTGACTTTATTTCACAGCATCAAAGTGACCTCAGCTTCACGGAGCGCCTCGGCCCGCCGCCGGGACCACGTCAGGACCGCCTGGCAGGTAAACGTCCGCTGGAGGCGGCGGCGCTTCGAGGTCGGACGCTCGAATCATCATGACGACAGACTTGATGGAGTAGGCCCAGCCGTGCCACGTGTACCACACCACGCCGTCGTCCGTCATGGCTTTGAACGGCCCGTCGTAGTAGTGACCGTTCAGGTTACCTGCGTTACACCTGTGAGGGGGAGGTCACAGAACAGTCAGCTGACACGATCGGCCAATAGCAGCTGGTTTAATCGCACTCTGCTCCAGTTAAAGGGACAGTCCCAAAATCACGTGAGCGTTTTCACGTCTATCCTGATATTTCAGCTGCAGAGACGAAAAGTTTCATGATCGAAGCAAAAACGAACCTCAGCAGCATCAACCCTGCTGGGGATAAAAAGTTCAGGTTTTTCTATTAAAACTTTATTGATCGATTCTCTACTCTACGCTTTTTCTACCCGAGTTTAAAAAGACCTGAACTGCTGTGAGAAAGATTTCTGCTGCTGCGACGTCGGCGCGATTTGACGTTTTGTTGGGCTGCAGAAAAGTTTGGGAACGGCTGCGTTAGGGAACATAAGGAGGCAGAAATCAAACAGCTGATTATTAACCTTTGGTTTAAAGCACGGTGAACTTTAACTAAACTTTAGTGCTTTATAAATAAAGTTAAAAACAGCAGCCACTGAACAAACACTTCAAAGCTCTTAAAACAGACACATAAAGATCTTCATCTCCACGAGTTCTCAGGAAACGTTTGATTTGATGAGCTGAACACAAAACTGCAGAAACAAAAGACGAACAAAGAAACGCAGCAGCTGAGGCTGAATCACGTTCATCAGTAAGATGTCAGTTTCCCGCGGTCACGCTGTTGGCGAG